ACTGTAACATTTTGGTATAAACATGGCTGAGATTTCTCTAACTTTTAGTGGGAAAATCAATTATTTCAATCAGTTTCTGCATTTTTGAAGTTGTACATGGACAACTGGCTGGGACTTCACTCATGGCTTTCCAAAACAGAATAGCATTGGATATGTCACTAGCACAAAAAGGTGGAGTCTGTGCTATCTTTGGTGAGCAATGCTGCACCTTCATTACTAACAACACGGCTTCAGATGGCAGCCTAACCATAGCCCTGGAGGGCCTTAGGTCACTGAATGGTAAAAGGAAAGAACACTTAGGCGTGGACACAACCATGTGGGACTCGTGGTTGGACGTCTTTGGCAAGTATCGTACCCTGGTGTTATCAGTCCTGGTTTCCATAGCTGTGTTTTCCACCATCTTGACCCTCTGTGATTGCTGTCTGATCCCCTGCATTCGAGGTCTCATTCAGAGACTGATCTCTACTGCTATCTTCTCTCTACAGCAGCAGTCTCAGATGTATCTGCTCCTCGCCCGCACAGACTCAGCAGATGAAGATGATGATATTTAAATATATGTTGACCTACAAAGTTAAATATAAAGTAAGCAGACATCAACTGTTATACTTTAAATGTTGAGCTTCTGATTCATCTATTTCATCTATTGTTACACTATAAAATTAAGTTGTATATAGCACAAAACATAATGGTCATTAAGAGATCTGCAAGTACTTCATTTCTTCTGACAAAGTAGAGGTAATCGAGTAAAATATTGCATTACAATTTTTAAATGTTTGCTTATCCAAGAAGACCACTAAATTTATTCACCTTTTCAAGGTCTACTACTTGGTATTTATACAAAAATTACAATAAACTGTTGACAAACTCACCTTTGTTTTCTGAAATATGACCACCAGCTTTCGATGCGTTGGTTGGCTGTTGAGGAGCCATACATATGGCTGGCAACGCTCAAGCTTTTCACAAGTGGTGGAGAAAAAAAAAAAATATGTAACTTCCAAAAAAAGTAATCACTAATCTACTTTTTCAAGTAGTAATAAGTAATCGATTAAAGTTAA